CACATCTGTAGTTCCAGCTACTCAGGAGGCTGAGGTGGAAGGAGCACTTGAGCTCGCTAGGTCAAGGCTATAGCAAGTCATGATCGTGTACTGCACTCCAGCCCAAATGACAGAGCAAGACTCTGTCTAAAAAAAAAAGCAAAAAACATAGTACCGTTTTCTTCCCAGACCCCAAGAGTTACCAAGAGAACTGGGCCAAGTTGTTTGAGGAAGAAACAGAAAGATCAACAACAGCCAGGTGGATGGATTTGGTCAAGCTGTATTTTATCTATAATATTAACAAATGGCCCTTACTATCCCCAGTGCTTTATAGACACAAACTCAGTCAATCTGCACAGGGACACCAGGAGGGGGATGCTGTTATCAGCCCCACTTTACAGATGGTGCACAGAGAGACCAAGTAATCTGCTCAGAGTCCCACAGTTGGTAAAAGCCCTTGCTGGGAGTCAAACCCAGGCAGTCCGTATCATTTAGCTACTCTGCTAGATGACTCTCTAGTGCCCCACCTTTATGTCATGTGGGTCTCACTGTCCCTGCTTGAGCAGAAGAGTCACTGTGCCCCTCAACAGCTCACCTGAGGCTGGAAGGTACTGACCACACACTCAGCAGGGAGGGCAGGGCCAGGCATCAGGCCACAGGCCCAAGGGCAGCATCTAAAGGAGGGAGAGTCCCCAGGTTCCTGGACAGCAGGAGCAGCAAAGGCCAACACTGGGCATGTGGCTGGGAAAGGAGGAAGGAGCTGGTGGGCTTTCGTTGGCAGAGCACTTGTGATGCTTTGGACCAGGTGTCCCCAAACTGCGGCCCACGGGCGGCATGCGGCCCCCTGAGGCCATTTATCCAGCCCCCCGCCGCACTTCAGGAAGGGGCACCTCTTTCGTTGGTGGTCAGTGAGAGGAGCACAGTATGTGGCGGCCCTCCAACGGTCTGAGGGACAGTGAACTGGCCCCCTGTGTAAAAAGCTTGGGGACGCCTGCTTTGGACCATTGTTCTGTTTGTTGCCTGTATTCCCTGTTGGGCCACAAGCTCTGGAATTGCAGTGCCCATGTCTTTCCTGTTCACAGGTACATCAACAGAGCCTGGCACAGTGTCCATGCTCAGTAAGCTTTTGTATAATGAGCACATGCAAAGCCCTGGGCCCCAGACCCACAGAAACATGCCTACCCCATGCTAGCTTTCTCTAAATTTTTCTAATGCAACCAGCCAAAGACAGCTCCAGGTAAGTTTTTCTGCCAGTGAGACTTGCCCCAGTCAACACTCAACCTTCTTCTCCTTTGGATCATAATCTTCCCCACTGCCTCCCTTCTCTCTCCAATCTATCAGCACAACGTACTGTCAGGTTTGGATAAGGTGACTCTGCTACAATCTATGGAAAGACCAATATGTGCAAGAAGGGTGACCAGCTCATCTCAGATGGCCCAGGACTTTCCTGATCTTGACAGTGACAGTCCTGTACCCCCAGGAACCCTCTCCATCCTGGGCAAGCATGGACAGTTGGCCACCATAGTAAGAAGATAAGTTAGAGACACCCAGCACCTTCTGGAATTCAGCCAAAATTAGAGCGGCACCAAGCATCTGTTAGTGCTATAGACTGTGATCAGAGTGCTGGGATCCAGTCCTAGGACCAGGGTGGTTGTGGCCTTGGAAAAAGCACTTTCTTCCCAGGATTTCAGTTCCCTCAGCTGCCATGTGAGGACATTCCAGTGCTTTGGAGGTCAGGGTGAGACTGCCCATTTAGTGCCAGTGACGGCAGTGCAAATCAACATCACCTCTTGGAGAAGCAACTCAGGGGTGAAGGAGGTCATACCGTTTCACATTTCTCATCCCTTGGTACTGATTGATTGCAATGCAGTAACGCAAGGGAAATAACAGCTTTCTGCAGAATATGTGTATTGCAGTGCTATTTATCATGGTGAAAAGTTGGAAGCAAACTCAACACTGAAATGAGAAACAGAGGCTGAATCGCAAGGTGATGCATCCACTAGCCAAGATCATATGCTGTGGTAATTAAAAGGGCTAACATCCTTACAACAAGTTAAACTGTCATGGGAAAACAAGAGACAAAGCGTCGTGGACTACAATAAAAATATGAAAAGTTGCTGCAGAGAAAGACTTCGATGCAAGAGTCCCATGTAAGAATAGTTGTACTGTGGGCCAGGCACGGTGGCTCAAGCCTGTAATCCCAGCACTTTGGGAGGCCGAGGCGGGTGGATCACAAGGTCGAGAGATCAAGACCATCCTGGTCAACATGGTGAAACCCCGTCTCTACTAAAAATACAAAAAACTAGCTGGGCGTGGTGGCACGTGCCTGTAATCCCAGCTACTCAGGAGGCTGAGGCAGGAGAATTGCCTGAACCCAGGAGGCGGAGGTTGCAGTGAGCCGAGATCGTGCCATTGCACTCCAGCCTGGGTAACAAGAGCGAAACTCCGTCTCAAAAAAAAAAAAAATAGTTGTACTGTGGCCAGGCATGGTGGCTCATGCCTGTAACCCCAGCACTTTGGGAGGCTGAGGCAGGGTGGATCACCTAAGGTCAGGAGTTCAAGACCAGCCTGGCCAACATGGCGTTACTCCATCTCTACTAAAAAGTCAGGCACGGTGTCGCATGTCTGTAGTCCCAGCTACTTGGGAGGCAGAGCCATAAGAATCACTTGAACCCAGGAGGCAGAAGCTGTGGTGAGCCAAGATCGTGCCACTGCAGCACTCCAGCCTGGGTGGCAGAGCTAGACTCTATCTCAGAAAAAAAAAGGAGAAAAGAAAAAAGAGTAGTTGTATTGTTTGGTTGGTAGGATTCACAGGTGAATTCTTCCTCATTTTTTCAGATGATAGATACCACTGTGACATAATTTTCATCCAAAAAAGTGCAGTTAAATGAGACAAGTAATGGTCTTCATGGCCCCTTCTGGTATTGACATCTGACTAAGGGCCTTGTCCAGCTTGCTGGATGCTTTGTTGCCCAGAAACCTCTTGCATTGCAGCGGTTGCCACAGGGATGGACCCAGGACTCCTGATCCCTAGGCCAGTGTCTCTCCCATTACCAGTGTTCATCCTTCAAGCTCTCTCATAACTTTAACATCCCTACCTGGCACTGGTCAGAGGCTGCAATCAAAGATACCAATTCTGGCTGATTTAAGCAGAAAATGAATACATTGAAAAGTTATTTACTAGCTCATAGACTTAGCAAAAGGTTATGCAACAAATCTAAGGGTAGGGAGTCGGGGAGATAGCGACCCAGTGACACAGAGAAACCAAGGGCAGAGCAGCCAATGTCACATCAAGAAAATATGGAGACATGCTGCAGACACAGCTACTGTAGGACCCTCCTGCCCAGGAGCCACTGGGCTCACTTCTCTCTCTCTCTCTCTCTCTCTCTCTCTCTCTCTCTCTCTCTCTCTCTCTCTCTTTCTCTCACTCTCTCTCTCTCTCTCTCTCCTCTTCCTCTTCTCTTCTCTTCCCCTCCCCTCTCCTCCCCTCCCCTCTTCTCTTCCTCTCTTCTCTTTTCTGGGTCTCTGTCACTCAGGCTAGAATGCAGCAGCACAATCATAGCTTGCTGCAACCTTTAACTCCTGGGTTCAACTGATCTGCCCACCTCAGCCTCCTAAGTAGCTGGAATTATAAGTGTACACCACCACACCTGGCTCCCACTGGACTCTACCCAACTGCTACTGCCAAAATTATCTATAACTATCTCTGCATCTGTTTTACCCCTGTAGACTTGAGGTCCCAGTTAGGGACAGCCACTTAGTCGAGTTATAGCCAAACACCTGTGTCATTACTGCCAAGGAGTAGCAGCTTCCTGAGTGGGAGGCTCAGCTTGCCTCCTGCCAAGACCCACACAGTGCTAGGATGAGGAGGCTCTTCCTAAAAAGAAGAGTTTGAATGGTGAGAGGCCAAACACCTGACCAATGTAGGCTGCTCCTGGTCATTCCATTTTCCCACTGCCCCTTCCTCCTACTTGTTCTTTACCTGCCTAGAGTCAAACCTGCCAGCATCACCCAATGGTCTCTCATAGAGAATCCACACCAGCACAGGCAACCAAAGGTTCGATATCTTTCTCAGCTTCAGGGCTAGGGGCTGGGCTTGTGTACAAGTTTGGGTCAAGGGTATTCTTTGAGCTCCCTCTTAGGAGCTCAGCATTCCTAAGTGCTCCCACGTACTGGCAAAATTTCCCACAGCCTCCAAACACCCAAGGCCTAGAAATACTCTTCCCCATGCTGGGTGTTCTAATCTGTTCAGGCTGCTGTAACAAAATACCATAAACTAGGTAGCTTAAAAATAACAGAAATGTGTTTCTCACAGTTCTGGAGCCTAGAAAGTCCAAGATCAAGGCACCTGCAGATTCGGTATTGGTGAAGGCCCTTTTCCTCATAGATGGAGCCTTCTAGCTGTGTCCTCACAGGGTAGAAGGAGCAAGCAAGTTCCCATGAGTCTCTTTTATAAGGGCACTAATCATAATCATGAGAATTCCACCCCCATGACATAATCACCTCCCATAAAAGCTTCACCTCTTAATACCATCATCTTGGGGGTTAGAATTTCAACATACGGGTTGTAGAGAGACACAGATATTCAAGACCATAGCACTGGGCTCACCCAAGAACGTACCTGAGCCTAAGCCCTGGGATCCTGTGGTGCCAGAAAATCCTGACTCAGTGACAACACTAAATCTGTGCCTCTTGGAATGGGTGTGGTAGCTCACACCTGTAATCCCAGCACTTTGGGAGGTTGAGGCAGTTGGATCACCTGAGGTTAGGAGTTCGCGACCAACCTTGCCAACATAGTGAAACCTTATCTCTATTAAAACTACAAAAATTAGGTGGGCATGGTAGCAGGCACCTGTAATGCCAGCACCTCAGGAGGCTGAGGCAGGAGAATCACTTGAACCCAGGAGGCGGAGGTTATAGTGAGTCAAGATCCTGCCATTGCACTCCAGCCTTGGTGACAAGAAACTCTGTCTTGAAAAAAATAAAATACATCTGTGCCTCTTGAATCCATTCTTTGACAGGGGGCCACATGGATACATCCCTGTTCCAAGTGGCCCACTTTAAAGAGGAGGGGATGCTCCTGGAGAAACCAGCCAAGGTGGAGCTGCATCACATAGTTCTGGAAGACCCCAGCTTCTCCCCCATGGGAGTCCTCCTAAGAGTGATCCATAATGCCCTGCGCATCTTTCCCATCACCTCCATGGTGCTACTCTACCACCGCATCCATCCTGAGGAAGTCACCTTCCACCTGTACTTGATCCCAAGTGACGGCTCCATTCGGAAGGTGACACTAAGAACCAGAAAGGCTGGGCCGTGGTGGGTCGATGGTAAACACAAAATGCAGCCAGAGAGCCCCCTAGAGGGTCTTCAACTAGGACTAAGGATAGGCCTCTTGTACATGAGAACCTTGAAGTGGGTGAACAATCCATCCCTTCTCAGCCATGGACTTGTCTCCTGCCTCCCTGAGGTCTCCCCTGGAACTTTGGACGGTTTCTTGCAGCCCCTCTCCAGGAATCAAAGGATTGGAGGCCTCCAGGCCTAAACCTTTCCCCATTCTAACTTCTCTAACAACCCTATTCCCATCCTGAAGCTAACAAAGACCAAGTGTAGGCTGTCTTGGTAGCAGTGCATGTGGGGAGGGAGGCAGGGCTAATAGAGCCCCACTCTGTCCACCCAAATATATCAATGCACCATCCCACCTGTTCAGACATTTCACTGGGCAGAAGCCTCCCCTAATCATTGTTCCCTGTGTTCCGTAGGCCATAGATGATGAAGAAATGAAGTTCCAGTTTGTGCGACTACACAAGCCACCCCCGCTGACCCCACTTTATATGGGCTCTCGTTATGCCGTGTCTGGTTCAGAGGAGCTGGAAATCATCCCTGAGGTGAGCAGCCCAGTGTCTGCCTCTTCACTGTGAACGCAAGTCCTACTTGGAATGCCTGTGGGGCAGGTCTAAGGGCTTTCCCAGGGACAGGATAAATTGAGGTTGAACAGAAAGTGGGTGGGATTTAGGGAAAGTGGAAATGCTTCCAGGACTGAAAGAAAGTTCAAAGAAGGGAGGATCACATGCAGGATAAGAAGATGATGGAGTTTGACTTGGGGGCACTGGGAAGTGTTTGGGCTATAGGTCGTCAATGTCCTCCAGTCAAGACCACCAGGGACACACCTGTAGTTGAACACACTGTGTTTATTACTCACTGCAGTGGCAGAACACATATTAGGGGAACCATGAGATGTCTCAGTAGAGGGTGTTATGATCTGCTATACAATTTGGGCCTTGGTTGCATACATTGGAGGAAGATCTAAGAAAACGAAGATTTTCTTTAGATTGGCTCTTGGTTCAGGCCACATGGAGATTTGCGGGAGAGCATTTCAGGCAGAAGGAATGCGTGAGAGGCGTAGAGTTGGGAGCAAGCTTGACACCTCCAGATGACAAAAAAGAGGTCAATATAGCAAGAGATGAGTCAGATCAGAAGCAGAGTCTTCCCAGGCCTCATCTGCCCCATTGGCCCTGGTGTGCAGTTTGGACTTTGTTCTAAGTGCAATGGCAAGCTCTTGTGGCTTGTAAACATGGTAAAACAAGATCTAATTTATAGCCAAGCACAATGGCTCAGGCCTGTAATCCCAGCACTTTGAGTACCAAGACGGGAGGATCACTTGAGATCAGGAGTTCAAAACCAGCCTGGCCAACATGGTAAAACACTGTCTCTACTAAAAGTACAAAAATTAGCTGAGTGTGGTGATGTCCCTGTAATGCCAGCTACTGAGGTGGCTGAGGAAGGAGAATCACTTGAACCTGGGAGGCAGAGGTTGCAGTGAGCTAAGATTTCACCACTGCACTCCAGCCTAGATGACAGAGCAAGACTGTCTCAAAAACAAAACAAACGAAAAAAAGAGACTTGGTTTGCTTTCATATGGGAGGCCGAGGCGGGTAGATCACCTGAGGTCAGGAGTTCAAGACCAGCCTGGCCAACATGGTAAAACCTAGTCTCTACTAAAATGCAGAAATTAGCTAGGCATGGTGGCAGGCACCTGTAAACCTAGCTACTCAGGAGGCAGAGGCAGAAGAATTGCTTGAACCCAGGAGGCAGAGGTTGCAGTGAGCTGAGATCACACCACAGCACTCCAGCTTGGGCCACAGAGGAAGACCCTGTCTCCAAAACAAACAAAAAAGGCTGTTGTGATTGGGTACAGTGACTCACACCTGTAATTCCAACACTTTGGGAGGCCAAGGTGGGAGAATTGCTTGAGGCCAGGAGTTTAAGTCCAGCCTGGGCCATGTAGGGAGAACTCATCTCTATGAAAAATGAAAGAATAAGATGGGTATGGTGGCACACACCTGTAGTCCCAGCTACTTACGAGGCTGAGGCAAGAGATTGCTTGAGCCCAGGAGTTCAAGTCCAGCCTAGGCAACATGGAAAACCCCCATCTCACTTTAAAAAAGGAGAGAGAGGGAAGGAAAAAAAAGGAAAAGGCTGTTGCGATACTGCAAGCTGCAGTTGAAGGTCACTTGACTAGGAAGGTAGCGAGGGAGATGGAGAAAAGTTTGTGAATTCAAGGTTGATTTTGAAGGTAGCGCCAACAGGACCTGCTGGATTGCCCGTGTAGGGAAGGAGTCAAGAATGATTCCTAGTTTGGAGCCTGCATGTTCAGTGGATGGTCCTGTCCTTTACTGAGTTTGGGGAAACTGGAAAGGGAGCATATTTGGAAGACAGTGGGGAATCAAGAGTTCTGCCTTAGGTGTGATTTAGGAAAGGGGATGGATATAAATTTTTGTCAATTGAAAGTGGATCGAGTTTAGGATCTTTTGGGTAGACAGGCTTTGGGCTGGAGAAATGAGGGTTTGGATTAAAGATACGGGAGGTTGAGGAAGGAGGATCTGACTTAGGATGATGAACACTACTTTTAAGGACAAGCCCTGACTCACCCATGAAATACTTAGTTGTATCCTCATCCTTCTGGGGAAAACTGGGAAAAGAGCAGTGTCTGAAGGTGGTGATTGATTTCAATACAGGGATCATCAGAGTGTCCCTGTGGAGCCAAGCAGGGCCAAGAAGGTATCAGGTGGGGAAAGGCCTCCCGTGCAAGATGAACCGGGTGGCAACTCAACTCTTTGCCTCTTCAGGAACTGGAGCTCTGCTATCGAAGCCCTGGAGAACCCCAGCTGTTCTCTGAGTTCTATGTTGGCCACTTGGGATCAGGGATCAGGCTGCAAATGAAAAACAAGACAGATGAGACTTTGGTGTGGGAGGCCTTGGTGAAACCAGGTAAAACCAGGACACATCCAGGGAGCTCAGAGGTGGGAGGAGAAAGAAAGTCAGAGAGAGAGAGAGAGAGAGAGTGTGTGCATTATCACAATTTATTGATGAGAAGAGGTAGCCCCCAGGAGGTAGGTGGCTTTCTCAAGTTACGTAACAGTTGTTATGACTATAATTTAAATGAGTCCATCTGACCCTCTAAAATGTGTGCTCTCTCCCATGCACAATGGTGTCTTCACAGTGCCCTTGAATGAACAGATGTCGACATCCACAAAGCTTTTGGCTAAGCTTCTCATGATAGCTTGGATGTGAGGTGAAAGAATAAGACCTAGATACTTACATGGTTGTATGGATTAAGCTGATTTGACAATTTCAGATACTCTCCCCTGTATCACTCAGTATTTTCAAGGAAGACAAGAGGAAATCAAATAATAAATTTTCTGGGATGGAGAAAACTTAGGGACTCTTAGTCTAGTACTAACACCCTAAGAATCCAAACCCCCAAACCAGCCCTAGTCAGCTGTCAAAAAATGGCAAATCCATTCTGAGCTACAACAAGCTGGCTTCGCAGTGTAGTGGAAAGAGGGTGGGCGTTACTGAGTCCTGGCCTGGGATGGAGAACTAGCCCACCCCAACTTCAGACCTGGGTTCAAATCCCACTCTGGCACTTACTTGCTGGGTGACCTTGGGAAAATTACTTAATTCATTTGAGTCCCTCTTCTGTAAAATGAGGAACATAATGACTAATTTGTAGAAATGTTGGAAAGATTAAATAAAGCGATGTCTGTACATGCCTCATGCAGTAATCCTCAACAAATCATAGCAATATTATCTTTTTCCTCATGTTAGGCCAAACTCTGCCTCTTATCAGTCCTAATTCTGTCCCTTGGAACTCAGAAAAAGTCTATCTCCTTCCCCATGAGAAAGCCATTGATAATCTTGGAGACTGTGGTGATAGCCTACCTGATGACTCTTGTTGTACAAGTTAGACATCTCCAGCTGCTTCCATTTTGGTTTGTAAATTCCTTTTTTTTTTTTTTTTTGAGACAGAATCTTCCTCTGTTGTCCACACTGGAGTGCAGTGATGCAATCTCGACTCACTGCAACCTCTGCCTCTGGGTTCAAGCAATTCTCCTGCCTCAGCTTCCTGAGTAGCTGGGACTACAGGTGCGCACCACCACACCCGGCTGACTTTTTTTTTTTTTTTTTTTTTTTTTTTTTTTCTATTTTTAGTAGAGACGGGATTTCACCATATTGGTCAGGCTGGTCTTGAACTCTTGACCTCATGATCCACCCACCTCGGCCTCTCAAAGTGCCGGGATTTCAGGCGTGAGCCACTGTGCCCGGCCGGTTTGTAAATTCTTTGCCATCCAGTCAGCTTTCTCAGTAGATGCTCTGGTGTGGGAATGAGTCAGAATTGACCCCTAGACCAGGCGTCCCCAAACTATGGCCCGCGGGCTGCATGCGGCCCCCTGAGGCCATTTATCCAGCCCCCCCGCCGCACTTCAGGAAGGGGCACCTCTTTTATTGGTGGTCAGTGAGAGGAGCACAGTATGTGGCGGCCCTCCAACGGTCTGAGGGACAGTGAACTGGCCCCCTGTGTAAAAAGTTTGGGGACGCCTGCCCTAGACTGTCCAGGCAGCAGAAAGGATGTGAAACACTCTCTTTTCTCCACCCACATGGATCCAGCGTTCCTGGTATCACAACCTGAACTCCCTGTACCCACCTCCTGCACCATGAGATCATACTGAACGTGGAGTCTGCTCAGACTCTCAGGCCTTGCACATATGAGCTACTGTGAACTTCCCCTTTCTCTCCTTTGCAAAATGATTTTTAAGTATCTTCATTTTTGTTATCTGTTTTTTTCTGTTAAAATTCATTTGTTACTCCCATGTCCAAAGATTTCTTGATGTTGATTCTAGAGTCTGACATCCAAATCCAGAATATACACCTTTGGTTGGTGCCAGTCTAGAAGACTTAAAAAAAAGAACAAGGAAGTAGATTTCTGCCAGAACAAGGAGGTGCTAAATAGTTCAAGCCATCTAGCAAGGGGTTTGGTTAGTTCACCAGGGATACAGTTCAGACCAACACTGGATCAAACCAAGTCTGGGATATTGTAGAAGACATTGCTATTGCTCATTTGGATGCCTTCTCTCTGTTACTCTATGATCACAACTTCAGGGCCTCAGTTTCCCCATATGCATAGGGAAGGGATTCACCTAGATAACCCCTAAGGACTCTTCCAGCCCTTACTCCAGATCCTATCAGACTTTGTAGCTTTCTTCTAAATCAAAGAATCTCAGCCAGGTGCAATGGCTCACACCTGTAATCCCAGCACTTTGGAAAGCTGAGGTGGGTGGATCACAACCTCAGGAGTTCAAGAGCAGCCTGGCCAACATAGTGAAATCCTGTCTCTACTGAAAACACAAAAAATTAGCCAGGCCTGGTGGCACATGCCTGTAATTCCAGCTACTTGGGAGGCTGAGGCAGGAGAATCCCTTGAACCTTGGGGAGCAGAGGTTGCAATGAGCTGCAATTGCACCATTGCACTCCAGCCTAGGTGAAGAGCAAGGCTCTCTCAAAAAAAAATCTCAGAAGTGATTGGGAGTTTGGAAGTGTATCGTGTGTTAATAACTTAGCACTGTTACAGATGCATCTTCATCTCTGTTTTCCTCCAGGAGATCTCACACCTGCAACTACTCTGGTCCCTCCAGCCCTCAAAGGTCAGTAACAGCTCTCAGAGACCACAAGAGGCAGTGGCAGTCTGGTTCTAGGGGGAAGGGAAGAGAGAAAGGAAGGGACTCATCAATGCAGAACTCACAAGGGGTCAGGCTCTGGAGAGCGGTGCATGGTCCCTCCCCATATCCCCTTGTCCTATCCGCAGAGGCCCTAGAACTCCACACCTGAGAGCCTCTAGTGCCCCCATTAGGAACCCCATTTCTAATCCCTACTCTAGCAGAATGCCAGGCTAGATGCTGACATGAAGGAAGATAGAGGTGCATTTCTGGAAACAAAAGGAAGCAAGGGATGCAGAAAAGAGAGAGAAAAGCACGGAACATGGAGGCTGGAGGTGAAGGCTGTGGTCAGAGCCCGTCTTTGTTCATTGCCAGCCTTACCTTCCCCTCTGGATGCCCCGGGGTTGCTGCACTTCGTGGACCAGTATCGAGAGCAACTGGTAGCCCGAGTGACATCAGTGGAACCTGTCTTGGACAACCTACTTGGACATGTGCTGAGCCAGGAGCAGTATGAGAGGGTGCTGGCTGAGAACACCAGGCCCAGCAAGATGCGGGAGCTGTTCAGCTTCAGCCAGTCCTGGGACAGGAGCTGCAAAGATCGACTCTACCAAGCCCTGAAGGAGACCCATCCTTACCTCATTATGGAACTCTGGGAGAAGGGCAGCAAAAAGGGACTCCTGCCACTCGGCATCTGAGGTATGAACACCAGACCTTGAGTCCTGGCTTTGCCTGACCCTCCTTTGGGTCTGTTTCTTTCTCTGCAAACAAGTTGCCATTTGATTTGCCTTCCAGCACTAAAGTAGTGGAACACTGATGATGCCTTTGCTGGGCATTATGTGTCCATGCCAGGGATGCCACATGGGGCCCCAGTCCAGGTGGCCTAACAGCATCTCAGGGAATGTCCATCTGGAGCTGGCAGGACCCCTGCAGACCTCTTAGAGCTGCATCTGGTGGCCACAACAGCCAAGCCTAGAGCCCTCTGGATCCCATCCAGATGCAAGGAGGAATAGGAGAGACATGGAAACTTTTGCCTCTGGCTGTGTCACAGGATGAGTCCCAACGGGTTCAGCATGGGAGGCCATGTGGATTACTGGCTTCTCGCAGGAAGATATGCAAGAGCAAGCCGACAGAAAAGTGGAAGGAAGTTTATTAAGAAAATAAAGGAGTGTTACAGCTCTTTTAGAATTTGTCTAGCAGGCTTTCCAGTTCTTAGCAGAAAACCCTCAGGCCACACACCTGTGGCTGGCCTTGGCCTTCAGGTCCTTCATGCCCCACCCACCCATCTCCTTCAGCACACACAGACCTCTGCTCTCCACACAACCCCCGCTCCAAGAAGAAGTGAGTTCCCTCATTTTTGTCACACTTGCTCCTCCCTGTGCTGCCCATGGAAAATTAGGACACTTCACACAGACACCTGGGTGGGGTCACTACCCAGCCTCACCCTTTCCCCCTCCCCCTCCAGCCAGGAACTCACCTGGACTAGATTGCTGAAAAACACTGATATTCCACAGGCCCCAAACTGTGGGTTCCCTGGAACCAAGACCTTCTGAACCATACAATAGACAGTCCCAAAACTCAGATTCAGCAAAATGCATCTTCAAAAGATCTCCCTACCTTTTTCTTTCCAGACCCCAAGGGTTATCAGAAGGACTGAGCCAAGTTGTTTAAGGAAGAAACAGAAAGAACCACACACCCAAGTGAAGAGGCACTTGATCAACCTGCATTTTATCCATAATACCAGCAGGAGGCCTTTGCTATCCCCAGTGCTCTATAGACACAAACCCAGTCAGTCTGCACAGGGACACCAGGAGGGGGATGCTGTTATCAGCCCACTTTACAGATGATGCACACGCAGGTCAAGTAATCTGCCCAGAGTCCCACATTTGGTAAGAGCCCTTGCTGGGAGTCAAAACTAGGCAGTCCAGATCATTTAGCTGCTCTGCTAGATGACTCTCTGGTGCCTCCCCTTCATGTGATGTGGGTGCCACTGTCCCGGCTTGAGCAGGAGAGTCACTGTGCCCTCAACAGCTCACCTGAGGCTGGAAGATGCTGACAACACACTCAGCAGAGAGGGCAGGGCCAGGCATCAGGCCACAGGCCCAAGGGCAGCATCTAAAGGAGGGAGAGTCCCCAGGCAGCAATGTCCCAAGGCCAACACTGGGCATGTGGCTGAGAAAGGATGAAGGAGCTGATGGGCTTTCATTACAGAGTACTAGTGATACTTTGAGCCATTTTTCTATTCATTGCCTGTCTTCTCTGTTGGGCTATGAGCTCTGAAATTGCAGTATCCACATCTTCCCTGTTCACAGCTACATCCGTAAGCCCTGGCACAATGTAAGTATTCAGTAAGCGTTTGTGTATTAGGCTGGACACAGTGGCTCAGTCCTGTAATCCCAGCACTTTGGGAGGCCAAAGCACCCACACAGTGCTGGACAATGAGGTTCACCCTGAAGAGTAGAGTTTGAATGGTGAGAGGCCAAACACCTGACCAGTGTAGGCTACTCTTGATCACTCCATTTTCCCACTGACCCTTCCTCCTCCTTGTTCTCTACCTGCCCAGAGTCAAACCTGCCAGCATCACCCAATGGTCTCTCAGAGTTACAGAATCCACACCAGCACAGGCAACCAGAGGTTCGATATCTTTCACAGCTCCAGGGCCAGGGGCTGGGCCTGAGTTTGACTTAAGGGAGTTCCTGAGATGCAGCCACCTTAGAGAATTTCTCATGACCTCCAAAGGCCCCAGGCCCAGGCATATCCCCTTCCCCATGCTGGGTGTCTTAGTCCATTCAGGCTCCTATAAGAAAATAACATTAACTGGGTGGCTTATGAATGACAAATGTTTATTTGTTTATTTCTTACAGTTCTTGAGAGTATTTAGACCAAGAACAAGGTGCTGGCAGATTCAATGTCTAGTCAGGGCCCTCTTCCTCATAGATGTCACCTTCTAGCTGTGCCTTTACAGCGCAAAGGAGCAAACAAGCTCCCTTGGGTCTTTTTATAAGGGCACTGATCCCATTCATGAGGATGCATGCTCAGTGGACGGTACCACCCTTTACCAACTTTGGGGAAACTGGAGAAGGAGCTGGCAAAACTGAAAAGGGATTTTTGGACTTGCCAGTCTATATAATCATGTCAGCCAATTCTTAAACATAAATGTCTTAAACATCCTATTGGTTCTTTTTCTCTGGAGAACCCTGACTAATACAATGTTGCCCTTAGGGTTAATGAGTTAAGATACTGAACACTTTATATATATTATAAATGGTCTCATCCCGACCTTCACAGCACTGGAATGCCTCACATATCAGCTGAGGGAACTGAAATCCTGGGAGGAATAACACTGCCACCTGGCAGATACAAGGAGGAATAGGAGGGACATGGGACCCCTTGCCTCTGGTTGGAGACAGAAAATGGAAATGAACATATGTCCTTGTGATATCTGGATGGCTTATGAATGGAGGCAGAGGGAGAGATTTAGTTTTCACTTGTTATTCTGTCCAGCCACCCCAGAAGCAGCATGAGGGGAATTCCCACAAGGGACTATTTCAAACCATACCAAGACGCGGCTGGCCGGGATTCCAAAGACAGAAGCACTAAATTCAGGGTAATCAGTTCAAAGCCTTTAATAGAGGAGCTGACACAGAGAGTGGAGTACAGTGTATCTCTGATACTAACAGCAAGAGAAAGGGATTCTACGTAGATATTTCTGCAGCAAGAGGGTCAGGTATGGAGTTTATAGGAGGCTCAGGGCTACAATCAGTTTCCTTCAGTGTTTTGGGCAACAACTTAGATACCCTTGTCAGTGTCTGAGAATGTTCAAGGCCTGGGTTTGGGTTCAAGCCTGCTGGGAAAAACCTGCAGCTGGCTGGGTCACAGCATAGTTAAGGCACTCTGTGATTTCAGTTAGGTCACAGAAAGAAAGCAGCGGTAAAGGGGCACAGGGATCCTATCCACCTTCTGGATCTTCTGACTTTTTCGCTTATATCACATTGCCAGCATGCAGTAATGTGGCTGACTGTGGGAATCTTCCTCTAGAGATCAAAGTGTTCCTGAACTTTTGTATCTCAGCTCTTGTAATAAAAGTGGAGTCTAGGCCGGGCACGGTGGCTCAAGCCACCCAGCACTTTGGGAGGCCGAGGCGGGTGGATCACGAGGTCAAGAGATCGAGACCATCCTGGTCAACATGGTGAAACCCCGTCTCTACTAAAAATACAAAAAAAATAGCTGGGTATGGTGGCACGTGCCTGTAATCCCAGCTACTCAGGAGGCTGAGGCAGGAGAATTGCCTGAACCCAGGAGGTGGAGGTTGCGGTGAGCCGAGATCGCGCCATTGCACTCCAGCCTGGGTAACAAGAGCGAAACTCCGTCTCAAAAAAAAAAAAAAGTGGAGTCTAGCATGATACCCACACTTTGAGAAAAATGTTCTTTACCTAAGATCCAGGTAACTGTGGCTTTTCTCTGGTCTCTGGTAGAATAAGCTTATGTAGAAAGCATAAACAAGGCCAGAAACAGTGGCTGATGCCTTTAACACCAGCACTTTGGGAGGCCAAGGTGGGTGGATCACCTGAGGTTAGGAGTTTGAGACCAGCCTGGCCAACACAGAGAAATCCCATCTCTACTAAAAATACAAAAATTAGCCAGGTGTGGTGGTGCATGCCTGTAATCCCAGCTACTCAGGAGGCTGAGGCAGGAGAATCAATGAACCTGGGAGGCGGAGGTTGCAGTGAGCCAAGATTGTGCCATTGCACTCCAGCCTGTGCAACCAGGGTGAAACTCCATCTCGAAAAAGAGAGAGAGAGAGAAAAAAAAACAGTTTAGGCCAAGACCCTGGCTTTTCATTTCAAAAACAAGAAAGTTATGCATAACGAACTTGCTGATTTGAATGGATTTCAGGTCAGCTGCCTGGGTCAGCAGTTTTCTGCTAAATGTGGCAGGTGTACAACCTGCATCTGAATTTGATGTCCTCAGCTCTCTTAAGAGAGAGAGAAAAATACCCTATTTGTTTTAGACCTTCTTTCTTCTCCAAATAGCCAAGGCTCCTCATGGGAGTCCCTCAGAAGCATGGGGGAGTCCTCTTAGGACTAAACTGTTTGCTTCTGTTGCATGCACTGCACATCACGTTGCACAGCATAGTGCAATTAGTTGACTCTAGCTTATTCCATTCTCAAGATAAAACCCTGGATCTCTCTAGAGGAAGCTCTGATTCTCTCCTGTGATCAGGAAGTTGCAAGTACAGTCTGGTAGCTCAGGGCCTTCCCAAGGAACTATCCTCCAAGTTTTAGCTCCCAGCTGGAGGTGAAATGATTGTTGGGGCCACACTGAGAATCACTGCAGGCAGGGTATATGGGGGTTGCCTCCCACTTCCTGCCATACCACCTCTAAGGAGTACCCAACTTTTTGTGGGGAGACTCAAATGGTCCTCACTCCTTTGCTGAGGGCATGGGAGTATTTTTAATGCACGGTGGGGAGAGGGTAGTCAGGGAGCGAGAGCACGCAGGCATCCTTGAAGCTGAACCGAGACATGTGTGAACACTTAAGTGATAGCCTGCTAGTTCTAAATAGCCTTCCTTGTTCTAAAGCTATGCAGTATAGTCACTCATTAACCCTAAGGGCAACACCGTATTAGTCAGGGTTTTCCAGAGAAAAAGAACCAACAGGATGTCTATACATATTGAGACATTTATTTTTAGGAATTGGCTGACATGATTATATAGGCTGACAAGTCCAAAATCTATAGAATAGGCTGGCAGGCTGAAGACCCAGGGAAAGGCTGATGCTGCAGTTCAAGCCCAAAAGCCTTAGAAAAGTTGGAAGAATTCTCTGCAGCCTTCAACTGTTTGGATAAAGCCCACCCAAACTAAAAAGGGCAATTCACTCTACTCAAAGTCCACCAATTTGTGGCTGGGCTCAGTGGCTCACACTTGTAATCCCAGCACTTTGGGAGGCTGAAGCAGACAGATCACCAGCTCAGGAGATGGAGACCATCCTGGCCAACATGCTAAAACCTTGTCTCTACTAAAAATACAAAAATGAGCAGGGCATGGGGATGTGTGCCTGTAATCCCAGCTACTCGGGAGGCTGAGGCAGGAGAATCGCGTAAACCAGGGAGTCAGAGGTTGCAGTGAGCTGAGATGGCGCCACTGCACTCCAACTCCAGCCTGGGTGACAGAATAAGACTCTGTCTC